ACACACACACACACACACACACACACACACACACACACACACACACACACGTAAGCACTAAAATCCAGTGAACTCATGGATTTTAATTTCTTTTATTGGTACAAAACACACATAGTACAAAAGTTTCATTAAATACATTGATCTAAACCATCAATCATACCCACTTTACTGAACATGATGCAGTGCATATATGAGGAAAGAGCAGACCCAGTAAAACTTAACTCTAACTGTGATTCTTATAGCACAATTTCAAAAACTGTTAATACTTATAGCAAAACCACTCACTGAGTTTGCAAAACTAAAAGCACAAACACTGCTTTGCACTCAGTTTGCCATTTTGTAACACACACTTTGCAAACCTGTAGCTACAATCTGTCTGTGAAGGTTCTCAGTCATCCAGGTCATCGTAGTCAAAGGAGCTTGCAAAGAAAAGCGTCTGAAGAAAAGAAGTCCAGACGCTTTTCTTTGCAAGCTCCTTTGACTGTAGCTACAATCCACTGCACAGCACTCTTTTTGCAGAAACACAACACAACTCACTGCTTTACACTCAATTTCCAAATGATCAACGCACTCCTAACAAAACTATACACATTTATTGCTATTATTTACACTATTTTGCCAACTGTCTGGCACACTGTCAAATGTGAAAACTGTTTTAGATAATTAGTTCACTTTCCAATCAGCCTAAGCACTATAAATAAGCTACAGGTAAGCTGTCCGTGTGGAGTACAATGGAGAGAGCAGGAAGAGTGAGAAGAGTGAGAAGTAGAGGAGGCGGAGGAAGAGGACGTGGAGGTGAAGCAGTAGGACAAAGAGGGCGACAAGGACAAGGAGGTGAAGTTAGAGGAAGAGAACAAGGAGGAGCAAGAGGAGGGGGAGGAGTGGGAGGAGGAAGGGTAAGAAGAGTAAGAAATAGAATTACTGATGACATCAGAGCTACATTAGTGGACCATGTAATCAACCATGGAATGACCCTGAGGGAAGCTGGCCAACGGGTTCAGCCTAACTTGAGCCGCTACACTGTAGCAGGAATCATAAGGACATTTCGAAATGAGAATCGGTTAGTACAGTCACTTTGCACTAAGATTTGTAGAACTGCCATATGCTGATGACAAACACAACAATACCATAGATGTAAAAATACTGAAATTGTTACTTTACAGAATTGCTAGGCGACCAAATGCTGGGGGCAGAGGAAGAATGTTCACTGCAGACCAAGAAACCCATATAGTCAATATGGTGATTGCAAATAATTCCATTAGACTACCAGGGCTGCCCTTTGTCTCCGGTTCTGTTCATAATTTTAATGGACAGGATTTCTAGGCGCAGCCAAGTGGCGAAGGGCTTTCGCTTTGGTGGCCTCAGAATCTCATCTCTGATTTTTGCAGATGATGTGGTTCTGTTGGCTTCATCGGGTGA